AGGAGGAAGCTGGAGGAGATCATCCTGAGCAGTGAAGGCTGTAAGGAGGTCTGATTCCTCTGTATCCACCACCTCCGCACGTTCATGCTCCACCTCCACAGGTGAAGATGTAGGTGAAGCCTCTGGGGCTGCCAGGAAGGTGTGTGGAGAAGAAGGAACCAGAGGTTCAGACGTGTGTGGAGACTCAGATGAAACGTCCTCGTCCACTGTGGAAGACAGATCTGCAGCGTGCCCCTGTGTCAGAGCAGCTTCGTCATCATGTGACCAGCTGGTTGTTGTAGACACAGCACCACACGTGCGGTCTGCAGACGACTCTGGATCGGACCGGTCTGGAACCTGAGAGTGTGCTGCGCTGGGCGGAGCGGTGGGGGAGTGGTTCAGATCCAGCTCGTGTTCAAGGTCAGTGCTGTCAATGGAACATATGCTGTAGAAGCTGCGGGTCCTGGTTTCAAACCCTTGACACAGCTTCGAGACGGCGCCCTCTTCCCCGTCGGTCTCCTCTTCGTGCTGAGCCTGAAGGGTCAAAGGTGATGGCAGGGGGTCATCTAGGGCAGCTGAGGAGCACCTGTCTGCTCTGTGCTGCTCCTGACCCACACAGGAGGAGCTGGCCTTCTCCAGGACTCTGAGCGTGGCTGGTTTGTGGGTGAGCACCTCCATGTACGGAGCCGGTTCACACACGCCGGCCACGGCAGCGTGCTGACCACACTCTCCTCCGTCTGTGTTTGTGTGTGTTTTTGTGGCAGTTGTGATAATAATAGCCTGCTTCACCTCCTCCTCCTCCTCCTCCACTGTTCCCCTGGTTTTCTCAACACACAGTTCTGGGTTCTGGCCTTTCACACGTGTCTCTTCCTCCTCTAAGAACACATGCTGTGCTACAGCAGCTACACGCTGCCTGATCTGCTCCGTCACCTCGGTGCTCCCCTCCTGGACGGTGGGTGTCAGTAAACTGCTCCTCTCTCCCTGAGCTCCAGGGTTCACCTCCTTACTGAAGCAGCAGCCCATGTTCTCTGGCCTCAACTTTTAATAAATAAAAAGAAAGAAAACACAGAGAAAACCATGAGCTTCTCCTCTCCACGGCTGGTCCACATGCAGAAAGAGAAAAGAGCCTCTGCTCTGTGCTCCTTCTCCGTCACCTCCCCCCCGCGTGGTCTCCCCTCCCCACACCAGAATAGCCCCGGTGACTGGGCTCACATGTCCCTGCCACTCAACCAGTGGGCTACACCCCACTCTGTGTCTTCACGGATGTTATGGAAGCCCAAGTTTGGCTACAGCACCAGAGTCAACACCAATCAGGGCCTAGCTCTGTCTCCTCCTTCCCCCTGTCCCACCACTCAGCTCCCTCTTTACTGCCCCCTCTCACCAGTGGAGTTGAACTGGAGTCACTGGTTCATCACATCAGGTGTGATACACACACCTGACCACCAGGGTCAGTTTAGTCCATGAACAAACAGCGTTAGCATTAGCATTAGTGCAACAACCACATCTCTTATCATATTAATTTCTCTGAATCTTTTCACTTCATTCTGACCAGTGGTTTCTTCAACAAATGTTTCAGTTTACAAACTTCGGTTTGCAGTCGTTTGGTTTAAAACAACCTTTCTTCCTGGAGCCAAACTGCGTCCATCTTAAAAAAAACACCAGCAGGATTTAAGCAGGAATAAAATGCCAGTTACATTAAGTTTTCCGTATTTAACAAAAGTTACATTTCTTTTTTTTCTTTCTCGAGTGGAAATAAATGAAATGCTTGACATCTGTGAGGTTTAAACACGAAGTAATAAACCATTAAAACTAGTTTTTATCATCAACAGCGACAAGTAACGAACATTAACGAGGCTAACTGCTAATGATAACGGACAGATGATTATACTGTAGCGCATTCTAATGCAGCTGCGACATTTTTGTTTTTTAATGTTTTTCTTTTTTTTTTTAAATCTTAATAAATTTATAAATCTGTTCTGACAGAAACTGATCTCCTCTGTGTGACAGAAAAAAAAGAAAACTCACCTGAACCAACATCTCCGTTCACCTGTCACTGAGAAGATCCCGGCTGCACTGACACCACACTCCCCTCGGTGGGTGCACTTAACCCTAGTGAACGATAGAGGGCGTGCGCTCCCTGTCTATCAGTCTATCAACAGTGTGATATTCAAAATACTAACTAAAAATAATTTTAAAAAACTAACAATAAAAATAATGATTACTATTATTATTAATGGTAGTATTTTAAATATAATAATAATAACAATAATAATAATAATAATAATAATGGATGTGGAATGTGCCAGTAAAGAGGAGGGAGCGGAGGGATGGGGTGAGATGAAGGCAGGTGACCCACTGTGGTGAAAGATAAAGCAGAGTTATTATTAGTCACTTTATTTTACAGAGCAGTTCAACTGTCAGCAGTTTCACTTCACACTGTCCCTCCTTTATTTCACTGCCATTGGTTCCAGGTAGATCTTTAAGAAATAGAAACTGAGGACAGGTGTTCCTACAGTTCCTCCAGTACCGAGGCTGCTGTCCAAATGCTGCAGGCTCAGGAGTACAGGCTCCAGTAGATGGCGTTGAAGAGCAGGTAGGACAGTGGGAAGACCAGCCGTGAGTACGAGTCGATCATGTAGCTGCGTCTCACCAGCAGTTTCACGTTCTCTCTGACCGATCGATGACGGCGTAGACGAGTGCCCCCTACTGGACGCATCTCTCGTGTGTGATGGTCAGGGGTCAGCATCCTGGAGAACGACGTTAGTTCCATCTCGTCATCATGGAAGCAGCCGTCAAAGGCCATGGCCTGGCTGGTGCTGTAGGTGGACACTGGGATCTGTAGAAAAATACAACATCAAAACAGATAAGAACTCTTCTTCTTTTTAATATCACTCTCTTTTAATGTGAGGTCACAGGTCACTGTTGTTTATCCACAGGTTTGTGAGCCACTCACTGTCCCACACCGGTCACTAATTTTACGTGAATCGATCGATGCAATAGCTTCATTTAACCACTAGAGGGAGCTGTAGTGCAGAAGTGACCTTTCCTCTCTTCATCCTCTTCATCTCCTCCAGCGTGGTGCAGTAGTTCACTGCCGCGTACTCTATGACAGACAGGAAGACGAACAGGAAGCTGGTCCACAGGTAGACGTCCACCGCCTTCACGTAGGACACCTACAGGTCAAAGACACACATCACAGCCTCGCGTCACCACGGAGCAGATGAGGCTGAGGCTGGTTACCAACCACGGAACGTTAGAGACTGAGGTACCTGAGGCATGGAGGAGGACACTCCTGTGATGATGGTGGACATGGTCAGCACCGTGGTTATACCTGCACACACACACACACACACACACACAGTGATGTTGTTATAGTGTTGTCATCTGTGTGTGTGTGTGTGAGAGTCGTGGGTGTGTCAGTCTGACCCAGAGACACTCGAGCTGTCGATCCAGAAGGAGACCCAGGACAGAACCACCATCAGCATGGTGGGGAAGTAGGTCTGCAGCATGAAGAAGAAGATGTGCCGCCGCAGGATGAAGTTGATGAAGAGCCGATTGTACCAGCCTGACAAATAAGACACACGTCGACAGACGACAACAGGCCGTTTTTAGTCTTCATTCTCACAGACCAAAGTCCATGGAGAAAATCAGAGATTTTAGTTCAGACCAAAGTCCATGGAGAAAATCAGAGATTTCCTAAATATTCATATTCAACTTCATTATGAAAAAAAAACTACAAACACACACACACACACACACACGGACCGGTGCTGCTGTAGAAAGCCAGGCCACTGGAGGCTTGAAAATTGTCAATGAAGAACTGAGACAAGACGATTTCATCTGTCCTTAAAGAGTCGTTTCCATTCTTCCAGTAGAGCATTAGATCATTCTCACTGTAGGCATCTGTACAGAGGATGAGGGGGGGGATAGAGGGTGAGGGGGAGACACAAGAGAGAGGCAGGGAGGGTGAGATTAGTCCCAGCACAGGTTTCCACTTTAATATGGTGTATATTTATTAACCCTCATGTCAAATAATGAATAAGTAGGTATTTATTAGTCAACTGTTAAACCACTAATTACAGCAACAAACAATGATGTGGTGTGTGTGTGTGTGTGTGTGTCTCACAGCTCTCCAGCTCCAGTGAACAGTTCTGTGTGTCCAGAGGAAAACTGCTGAAGTCCATGGAACAGAGAGCCGTCACTGTGACCCTGAAACACACACACACACACACACACACACACACACTCGGGTTTACCACAGGTAACGATGGTGATGGTGCAGAGTTGAGGGTGTGAATCCTCAGCGTCCACCTGTACCTGACGCTGTAGAGAATGTTTCCGTCTGGATGGACCCGGAGCATGATGTTCTCCGTGGTGGTGTCGTGGATGAAGGAGCGTTTGGAGTGAGCGAAGAAGACGTCGGGGACCCAGATCTTCCTCACCAGCCGCGAGTCAAACGTCCTGCTCTGGTTGTTGTGAGACGGAAACGCCAGACGCTCGTCTTTCCAGTAGTGGCGGAGGTAGAGCGTCATGGTGAAGTCCTGGAGAAGAAGCCAGTCAAAGTGGTCTGTGGTCAGGGTTCTGTTCTGGAAACACCAACCACAAACCTACACAGAAAATCAGCTGTTTCATGTCACTGAGCACTGGGGGGCGCTATTCAGCCTCCATCAGTAGTTCAAAATCTGTTTGAAATCCCTTTGGATTCAGTACTGTGACACAGACCAACCACAGGAGGCAGCAGTGGACCAGCAGCTGCTATGTCACTAAAATCACTGAGAAAAACAACAACAACAACAACAACAACAACGACTATAATAATAATAATAATAATAATAATAATAATAATAATAATAATAATTCCGATCCTTTTTGCGGTCCTGCTGGCGGCCATGATGTAACTCCTGGGCGGTGAAGATGAGTCTGAGTTCAAACAGAACCTGGAGTCAAAGTCAACTGATGATGACCACAACAAAGACACGTTTCTTTTCATGTTGGTTTCAAAGCGACCATTGTTCTGTTCAAGTGTCACAGACGTTCTTCTTCTTCCCCCGGTGGAGGTTTCATTCTGGTGCCAGATCAACATTTAGACGTTCTCCGCTCCTCTAACGACACCTTCATCGTTTATCTCTCTCCACAGCAGGACGTGGAGTCTGACAGTGAAGAGGGCAGCGAGGGTGAGAGGTCACGGAGCAGGGGGTGGGAGTGGACAGGAAGTGATGTCAGGACAGAGGTCGGATCTTTTTCAGATCATTGTCTCACATCAAAGCTCATCCTGAAGTTTCTGTATTTTCTCATAAATCAGTGTCAAAGAGTGAACACTGTCCTAATCTCTGATCTACACACACACACACACACGGGTGGAGCTGGGAGTTGAACAGGTGACCTCATAACTGTAAGGCAGGAGCACTAACCACTCAGGACAGTTGTAATCATTCTACAGAGTTTCTTTGTTCACGGCAGAGTTGATGAAACCGGTGGAAAATGAAGCCCTGGGTTTTGTCTTGCAGGTGTCCTTACCATGTTGACCTCAGAAATGCTGTCGATGCTCTCCACCTGGACATCGATGCCCACAGGGATGGCTGCGCCTGGAACGACAGAGGCAGATTATAAAAAGTACTCTATTACTCCTGCCATGATGAAGGGGAGCTGTCAGTCAAACTAACACACACACACACACACACACACACACACAGCCCCTGTCTGGGCATGATTTCCCAGGTCACACTCCCGCTGCTGCTCTCAAGGGAAACGAGAAAAAGAGTGTGTGTGTGTGTGTGTGTGTGTGTGTGAATCACAGACACTTTATTTAATGAAGTGTGTGTCAGTCAGGTCAGTAAAACAGAAATACAGTTTATATATATATATATATATATATATATATCAACCAGCAACAGTCAGACACGACAGTCAGACACGACAGTCAGACACGACAGTCAGACACGACAGTCAGACACGACCGTCACCATGACAACCATCACTGAAGGTCTCACCGTCAGCCTCCGTCCCAGACACAGACACAGCGTCAGTCACAGTGTGTGTCAACAGCCGTCAGACTGATGGGAAGGTGAAAGTACACAGCAGTACTTGTACTTGTACACGCAGTATTATGGGATTAACAGAAATGATAGAGCTGCACCACCAGGAAACTGAGTTTAAAGTTTAAAATCCTGGTTTAAACCTGGTGTGTGTGAACTGAGCCTCCTGACTTCAGCCTCCGTCCACACACACACACACACACACACACAGAGAGAGAGAGGATCAGTATCAGGGGCTGAGAGACTGTGTACAATTACAGTCAGTAGAAATGCCACGGAGCCGCGGGGCAGACACTGCTGCTGCTGCTGCTGCTGCTGCTGTTGTTGTTGCCTCCGCCCTGAATGACGGCAGAACCACAGCAACTTCACACACACACACTCAGACAGAGGGGGGGAAGAGAAAGTTTCCTGGACAGTATCAGGATTGGACCGAGGTCTGTGGACCAGACTGGACCAGTCAGAACACAGTCAGAACACAGTCAGAACACAGTCAGAACACCAGGTTCTCCCGGTGTGTGTCCAGGTGTGAATGTCAGCGTGAACGGTGTTGATATAAAGGTTTGTCCTGGAACCACAGACCACGACACCGTCACGTGTCTGAGACCAAGGACCAGAGAAAACCCACTTCCTGTTTGTTCTTCACAGTAAAAGTGTGATGAAGGAGTTTCTGGACAGAGTTTGGAGGATCTTTAAAGATGTGGAGAAGAATGACAGGAAGTCAGTGGTCAAACACCGACTGATGAAGGTTTGTCTGGTTCTCCACCCTCCAGCTGCTTCACACTGCTCCACATAATCCTGATTAATGGGGACAATCCCACACACACACATTCATGCACTCACAGACACAGACTCTGAGTGTGTGTGTGTGTGTGTGTGTGAGACTAACCTCCGAATCCTGGTCTCAGGGCGAAGTCGTGCTCCTGGATCCTCAGCAGCTGCTCACTCTTTATCAGCAGAGTTTTGGTGCTGTCTTTTCTCTTCAGCCTGTGGTCAATACGTCTGTGAACACACACACACACACACACACACACACACACACGGCGGTAAAAAAGTGAAGTTGGAAAATTTCTACTCTGACAAAATAAAAGTGAAGTTGGAAAATTTCTACTCCTTCAAAAAAATTCCTTAGAGAAAACGCCATGGTTCCAGTGGCTGCTGCTGCCTCCTGTGGTCAGAGTGTGTAATAAACACCCTGTAACACCGGGTGATGGAGGCAGCCGTGGATTGATGAGTGTCCTGAACCTGAGCTGAACTTTGTTGTTGAAAAATGTGTCAGAAGAAAGACGTCCTTCAGAAACGTCCCCTGTGTCTCTGTCTCCGTCTCTGTCTTTGTCTCTGTGTTGACAACCTGTCGACTGATGACTCAGATTAAAATCACAAACTTTATTTTCTTTTCACTCTCTTTCCTGGTAAAAACTACACCCGCACCAGTGACTCGCCACGCTCCATCATCATGTTGACGTGCGTGAAAACACACACACACAACCACACACACACACACGGTCCCTACAACGACACCAGGTGTTTGAAGAAGTGTTAACATCCAGGGTTTTTTCCCTCTTGGTTCCAGGAACATGGAGGTTAGTTCTGATGTGAACCAACGCAGGAGCGAGTGAGTCAGGGTCGAAGAACGTGTTCTGTTGGTTCCGCTGCTCACTCTGCCCCAGAACAAGAGTTCAGGTCACAGGGACACGGCAGCTGCTGGTCCACTGCTGCCTCCTGTGGTCAGCTCTTGAGTCACTGAGGTCAATCTAAACAAAGGAACACAAACACGGTCGGAGAAGGTCCGGTTCAGTCCAGTCTCACCTTCCAAACTTGAACCTGCTCTTCTCCTCCAGAAAAACCTCCTTGTGTTTCCTGCGTCCAGACGTTGGACCGCAGCTCGCCGTGACCAGGAGTCTGAGCAGAGTCAGGACCAGGAGAGTCAGCGCTCCGACCTTCATGACCTTCATGACCCTGGTTGTCCTCGCAGCATCAGCTCCACCTCCTGGTCTGTGCCGTCCAGCACCACAGGAGTCCTGGAGCGGCTGGACGATGTTGGTGGAGCTGTGAGGACAGACGCTGAGTGATGGAGTTATTCACACAGACATCCCCGACTTTTACATGTCATTATCTTAATTCACACGAACGCTCCATCTATCTGCCCCAGCCCCTCCCCCCCCCCCGTCTGCCCCTGAGGATCGTCCACTCTCTGATTAAATTCTATATGAATCCATATTTCCTCCTGTGAGGCAGGAATGACACTAATTCCATGCCTTAATCCTCTTAATCCACATCCAGCGCAATCTTTCACTAACCTACATGAGACGACACACACACACACACACACACACACAGGTCCATCCAATCATATTCTCTCACTGAACAAACACCTAGACCTTCTGTAGACGTCGTGGTGTGGGGGGGTCTGTGGTGTGGGGGGGGTCTGTGGTGTGGGGGGGGAAACAGATTTATCAGACAGTTAAAGATGAACCAGTCG